GTGTATCCCTTGGCCACTAAGCGAGCTTTAAGGCGATCAACAGTGCCATCAGGACCAACTTTAACTGTGAACACCCATCGACAACCAACAACAGACTTCCCGGGAGGAGCACGAACAAGATCCCAAGTGCCATTTGAGTGAAGTGCCTGCATTTCATCAAGCATCGCCTGGCGCCACCCTGGATGAGATAGTGCTTCACCTGTGGTTTTAGGGATGGAAACAGAAGAGATACTAGAAACAAAAGTAAAATGTTGTGAAGAAAGTCTGTCATAACTCAAGAAAGAATAAAGGGGATGAGGATTTTGAGTGGATCGAATACCTTTCCGAAGGGCAATGGGAGGAGTCTCTGATGGAGGATCCGGAGGAGAAGAGCCGACGGGAAGGGGCGATGAGTCATCAAGAGGCAAAGTCGGAGGAGGTGCAGGCTGACGACGCTGGTATGTGAGGAGAGGACGATCTGCAGGTATGGAGGTAATTGGTTGCTCCTCTGGAATAGGGTCACCTGCAGCTGGTAAAGACAAATCAAGAAAAGGAACAGGAAGGACCTGATCAACTTGGGACACTGGAGACGGAGTAGAGTGAAAAGCCTGTTGATCAAGGAAAGTGACATCAGCAGAAACGATATAACGCTTGAGATCAGGAGAATAGCAACGATACCCTTTTTGAAAACGTGTATACCCAAGGAAAATACATTTGAAGGCCTTGGATGTCAACTTGTCTTTACCTGGAGTAAGATCATGAACAAAACAAGTACAGCCAAAAATATGTAAAGGCAGAGGATAAGAAGGTGCTCCGGAAAACAAAATACTGTGGGAACATCATTATTTAGCACAGAAGAGGGCATGCGGTTGATAAGGAAACATGAGGTGATAATAGCATCTGCCCAAAAATGGAGTGGGACGTTCATATGAATGAGAAGGGTACGTGCAGTTTCAACTAGATGTCTATTTTTACGTTCAGCGACTCCATTTTGTTGTGGAGTGTGGGGACAGGTAGTCTGGTGTATCGTCCCTTGTGTATCCAGAAATTTAGAAAATTCAAGAGACACATACTCTTTTGCATTATCACTGCGCAAGATTTGAATAGAAGCACCAAATTGAGTTTTTATTTCTGCACAAAACTTTTGATAAATTGAAAATAACTCAGAACGATTTTTCATTAAATAAACCCAAGTGCAACGGGAGAAATCATCAATAAAGGTGACAAAATACTGAAAACCCAAAACAGACGTTGTTCGACTCGGACCCCAAATATCAGAATGAACAATAGAAAAAGGAGCATCAGCTCTTTTATTGACTCTATTAGCAAAGGAGGAGCGAGTGTGTTTTCCTTGCTGACAAGAATGACAGTTTAAAGACTTAAGATTGGATAAAAAGGGAACCATATGCTGAAGCTTGGAGAGGTTTGGATGACCCAGAGGGCTGTGAATTAGCTCAGGAGACTCTGTGAGAGAACAGGCTACTGGAGAAGGTGGTGCAATCAGATAGTAGAGACCTCGTGACTCAACGCCTGCTCCAATCGTCTTCCCCGTACCCGAATCCTGCATAGAAAAGGATTGTTTAGAGAAGGTAATAGTACATGAATGAGAATGAATCAACTGGCTAACAGAGATTAAATTAAAAGGAATGCCAGGTATATAATAAACAGAACTCAAAGTTAAAAGAGGAGTTGGGTTGGCTTCCCCAATTCCACGAGCAGGAGCCTTAGTGCCATCAGCAAGAGTGACAGGGGGTAGGTTATTAGAATAAGAAAGTGAAGTGAAGAGATCTTTATTACCACAAAGATGATGAGTAGCACCTGAGTCTATTATCCAGGGTCCAAGAGATGATTGATAAAAACAAGCAACATGATTACCAGTGTCTTGAGTAGGATGCTGAGAAGAAACCTTCTTGAGAAGTGCCTCATAGTCGACACTTGAAAGAGTTACTAATGCAGTTGAAGGTGGCGTAACATCAGTTTGAGCAAAGTTGGCAGTCGGTGGCTTCAAATGAGGGTACTTCCTATAGCAGCGTTCTTCAAAATGCCCAAGATTCTGGCAATAATTGCAACGAGGCCTCTGTCTGTGGCCACGTCTGCGACTGCGTCCACTGTTCCAATTGGAATCACTGGCCCGAGAAAAGAATGGAGATGGGGTAGTACCGGAGATGATGCCAGTCGTGTTTTTGGACGCATTATTTGAGCCCTCCATCACAAAATAAAAGGAGATGACCAGAAAATAGCAAAGAACTACAAGAAAGCAAGAAATCGCGCAAAAACGTTGCACAAAAGTGTCCAAACAACGGGTTTTTCACTAATATCTTTCAAACGGATGGGACCCACAACGAACGGAGACCAGATCTGGAAAGAGGGTGAGGAGGCGAGCAAGATGGTGGTGGTCCGGCCTGGAACGGTGGCCGGACGATGGCTCACGCGCCGGAACAGTGGCTCGGCCGCCGGAGACTTCCACCGGCGCGTGGCGGCCCGTGGATGCTCCGATCAACACGCGGCTTGGACAGACAGGGTCGCCTCCCTGAGCCGCTTCTGATCGCGTGGTGGTTGGTCGGAAAAGTCGCCGAAAAAGCAGTCTGACGGCGGTGAACAGTGGCAGACGGTGGTTTTGTGGCGGTTTCCGGCGATGAACGGAGGCTGACGATCTTTTTCCTGATGATACGAGGTTGAGGACAAGAAATTTGTGACTAAATAAGGGTTAGGTGTGAAAGGATGGTTGCCGGTATGATGCACGGCAGTAAAAAGAAAGAGAAAGATATATATGCGGAAGCAGAGCCCTCAGATCGAGAGCTCTGATACCAAATTGAATCTGAAATATATTGTATATTCAAGTATATGAGTCTGTACAAGGAGGCTCTCTATTTATAGAGACTAAAAGACCTAATGGGATGACCTAATGGGCCAAGCCCACGATCTAGACTATTCTAATAATAAATTAATATTATTTCTAACAATTTGGTACCTGGCTTCCTGGCTTCAAGTGTATGGCATGGTCAATTGGACGAGTTGGTGGCAGCTCCTTTGGTTCACGAAATACTTCCTCGAATTCTGACAGTAGCTGGTCCAATTCAGTCCACTGCCCTTCTTCCTCTTAAGCCACAACTTCAGTTGCCTTGAGATAATACCCTTGTCCCTGATCCCGTAGGGCTTTAGTGATAGACTTGAGTGAAGCCTCGGATCTGGATAATGCAGGATCTCCCCTAATGATAGTCTCCATCCCCCTCTCACCGTACTTGAGGGACATTTCCTTGAAATTTGCCTTGATTTTCCCTAGTTGCGTCAACCACTCCAGTCCGAGAATTACATCTGCACTGCCCAATTCGAACAGGTAAAGGTCCGGCTGGATTTGGGTTCCTTGGATGCAGATATTCACTCCCATGCACACTCCTTTACACTCGATCTTAAACCCATTCCCAATCTCCACTTGATACGAAGGAGTATCAGAAATCTTTAACCCCAGGTTTTCCACAACTTTTTTTATGAAGTTTGTGGACGCTCCACAATCCACCATAACCACCACCCGCTGCCCTTGTATATCACCCCAGACCTTCAAAGTTTGGCTTGAAGAGAGCCCTAACAAGCTTTGCACCGAGAGATGTAACAATTTCTCGGACTCGTGCACGTCTGTCCCCACAGCCACTCCTTCTCCCTCGGTTTTCTCATCTTCGTATTCTGCTTTTTCATCATCGACCAGCAAAATATGAAGTTGCCTAACTTGACACCTATGATTTGGGTGCCAACATTCGTTGCACTTAAAACAAAGGCCTTTTTGATGTCGGTCACGCCACTCCGTCTGCGATAATCGCCGCGCCTGATCGGAATCGCCCTTACCAACGTGATTTCCAGTGCTGGACGTCGCGGTCTTCATCGTCCCACCTTCGCTAGGGTTCTCAGTTTGGGCATTTCTGGTGTTAGACTGACCACCGCTGGGAACGTTAGACCCAGCATTAGAAACCTGGGAATTGGGTCGGGTTGTATTCCCGGAGCCCACAGTCGTCCCTCTCCACGTCTTGTACTCAGTTGGGCCCGAATTCCTCTGTTGGCCCACATACGTGCGATTAGGTCTTGTGGTCCAATTCCTCACGTTAGGCCCTACTCCTTCATCTCTCCAAGCGGTATTCCGTCACTCCACCTTGACGGAGAGTTTCATCATGTCCATTAAACTGAGCTTCGATGACATCATCAGCTCCTCTCTTATGCTATTGCGTACTCCGTTCAGCCATGCTCCCTTAAGTAGTTCTTCATCTCCAATCCGTAGGGCTCCCACCATTTTCTCAAATTGAGCTCTGAAATCCACCACACTTCCCCCCTGTTTGAGGGTATACAATGCTCGGTACGGATTGTCTAATGCCTCCTGTTGAAAACGGCTAAGCAACTCTCGCCTAAAAAATTCCCAGTTAGCATTGACGTTGCTCACCTCCTACCAATGGAACCAGTTCAGGGCTTCCCCTTCAAGGACCACCAACACCGCGGTAACCTTCTCAGCTTCTGTTATATTATTTACGGTGAAGTATCTTTCCACCTTGCTCAGCCATCCAAATGCGTCCTCGCTGGAGAATATTGGCATCTCCAAGCGTCTGCTTATGGGTACAACTGGATTAATTCTTCTTCTATTTCCTCTTTCCGGCGAACCAGCATCGTCGCCATCTAGGTTGTTTTCACGTCCCGAGAGGGACTTCTTCTCCGTCTGGCCATTTCGTCAAGCCTTCTAATAATTCCATTCATTCCAGCCTCACTAGTTTCCAGTCTCCGAAACACTTCATCGTGATTAGCATTGTTCCTGCGCAGACCTTCCTCCAATATGGCCAATCGTTGTTCCATGTTGCGTGTCAATACCATCCACAGAGCTCCTAGATCAGAGCTCTGATACCAATTTGATACAGATTTCTACTCAACAATCAATAAAAACTAATATCAAGGATTGAAAAGCTAAAAACAGAGGAGTTTTGGGCCTGAATAACTCAGATTTTTCATATATTTTTCCAAAGAAATTACAAGACAAATTCAACAATCATCTACCAAAGAAAATTACAGGGAATTGTAAATTGCACAACTACAGAAGATTAAACTAATTCTAGAGCAATTATAGAGACTCTAGGCTCTCCCATTCACCAGCAGGTGCCCAAGGTTCAGATTGTCCAAAGATCCTTCTCCCTTGCACTCCATGCTCCATATAACCAATTCCTATCACCCTTCACGTTCCATTTCTGTTAAGGGGTAATCTTGTCAAATCTCCTGCTGACCTGGCTGCTGACGTGGCAGTGGCAACCATATTGTTATCAGCATTGAGATGGTTCTCTTGGGCCATTTGAGCCCAAACCTTTTTGGACTTGTCCCTTTTATAGGTTTTAGCTTGAATTGCATCAATATGCCTCCTTGGGAAGGCATGTGTTGCTGTGGCTTGCCCTTCACCTTCTTGATCTTGCCTCCTGCCATTTATGGTGTGCAGTGTGCACCTATCTCTCACACACAAAGGCCCTGTTTAGAAATAAAATGCAACAGGATTACTTAATTCATAATGGACTCCATTCTTTGGAATGTATAATAAATCAATGGAATTCATTATAATTTATAAATGTACAATAACATATTTTCCTAATGGAACAGAAATTGATTTTTGTGAACTATTAGCATGAATGCAAGAAGATAAAAAGAACAATCAAGAATCATCCAAGCGTTTCATTAAAAAAAAAATTTCAGTAAAACTTTGCTTTATTAACTTTCAAAATGATATAAATAATCAAGTTAAAGAAACTGGTCAGAAAACTAGATAACATGAAATAACCAAACATTGGTTTCAGTAGTATATCTAGCATGCTGAGAGCTGATTTCAAGCAAGTTAGCTGCACTCTGGAATTAAGAATAAAAAGATGCCTTCAAATATACAACCAATTATTATTCCTAGACCTTGGGCTATGCACAAGAAATTGTATGTTATTTCCTTAAAAAATAAATATAGGGCTAGGTCATATTGCCTAGCACTTTAATTTTCCTACTGTTATTACCTTCTCTCTATCGTTAAATTGAATTCAAATCAATGGTAACAGTTACATAGATGGGTCCCACACCTCTATCTCTCATAGGAAAATATTTTCAATGCTTCAGAAGCACAGAGTACTCTTTTTACCAAATGTAGTAAAAAGTAACACTTTTACACTACCATTGCCTTTATATTTATTTCCACTCATATCCTGCATTTTTCCATTTTTGGGCAAGGAGTATGTACTGCTGGAGCACAGAAAATGAGCTCCTCTCTTAGATCATCCATGCCACATACCTTCTCTCTCTTTCTTCTTTCTCTTCTATCAGATTTTCTCTTTCTTTTCTCTCTTTAATCGGACCATCTCTCTTAGTTTACATATCCACACCATGATTAAGTCTCCTAGATATACTTCTGCACCAAAATAACCCAACCAAAATGATGAACTCTTAAAAGTAATTCAAATTACTTTACTTTTTATTTTTGTTCAAGTAACTGCCTTTGCCTTGCCTATATTATAGGGAGAAATAGAGAGAGATAAAGGTGTGAGACCCACCAATGTAACTATTTAATTTTATTTAATCTTGTGATATTTGAAACCGTCGATTTGAATTCATTATAACAGTGGAAAAGAGGTAGTAAGGACAGAACATTAAAGTGGTAGGTAATTTAATCGGCCCAATAAATATATATGTATAGATATATTTGGAGAAAATTCCCTTAAATAATATAAAGAGCAAACCCCGATACACAAGGCACCTCACTTTTGCTAGGGTAGGGGTGAGATTCTGGGAATCTACTTTACTTTGTCTTACCCTAGGTAGCACCGACTCGACACGCGACACGTGACACGACACGACACTCCGACACGTCAATCCTAAAAAAATATGAATTTCGACACGTTGGGACACGTTTTAATATTAAATAATATTTTTAATTTATATAGTATATATTTCATTTAATATTCAATAATTTAACAAAAAAATAAAACTAAACTAATAATAGCCATCAATTTAACCAAAAAAAATCATTTCCATAATACCATTATATTGATCTAAAGCAAAAATAATAGCATATCCATAGAAAAACATAAAATATGGAGATTACAGATTACCTTCATGGAGCATCTTCATCTAGAATAACATTTGACTTCATCTCTGGCTCATCAAGTGAAAGAGTAGCAACTTCAAGAATTCCAACATCTTCAAATGTATCAAATGTATCTCCAGCAATGTCCCACATTCTAGTATCCCCATGTGTATACTGTGAAGTTTTTCTTGATAAGAGCCGAAGGTTGCTATGTATATAAACCAAGTCTTCAGCACGTTTTGGAGTCATCTTATTCCATCTTACAGAATGCACAAAAGAATAAGTACTCCAATTGCGTTCAGCACAGGATGAAGAAGAAGGTTGTGCAACAAGTCGCAATGCTATCTTTTGAAGCATAGGTGAACAAGCACCATGAAGCACCCACCAAGCTTTGGGCTCCATAGAATATCGATTTTGCATGGCATCATAATCTCTAAAACCCCCACTCATACTAACAAAGTCCACATACTCCAAATTTATTTTATTTCGGTCCTCCAAGTTAGGAAAGTATCTCTTTAAGCATTTTTGTCTTTCTTGATTAATCTCTAAATCCTTGTGTGGAGGAACTCGACTAGAATCTTCATTAAGCCATTGTTCACTATAGTATCTGAAAGAAAAAAAAGAAAAACAATTAAACAAATTATATCAAATAAGAGAAGTATTAAATTCATTCATATTTAAAAGCTTACTTCGGATTCAAAGCATGTGCCAAACAATGAAGTGGAGTTGAATTCTTGGTCCAACGATCCACAAGAATGCCATGCACCACCTCATAAAAAGTTGAGGTCTCATCCATCCTCTTCAATTCATGAAAGTATATAGCTTTCTTCACTTTCTCAATCATCTCATCCCACATATCATAAATCAAATGAAGACAAGGTTTATCAGTGTCACAAATCCTGATCATATTATAAATAGGAGCAGTGAAAGCAAGTATATAATCAATTGAATCCCACCAAAGATCATCCAATATCTTATCTTTAACCATTCTTGCCCGCCCTAGATTATCATCTTTATACAAACTCCATTTTTCACTGATTACCATATTTTGGAGACCACATTTTATCAATTTGAACCTCTTTAGCATCACAATCATGGAAGCAAAGCGGGTTTCAGCTATAGAAAGCAACTTCAATCCCACAAACTCATTAAACATTGACAGTTTCATAGAATGATTCATTATGAATTGCTTTATTGCAGAAACATCTCCAACAATATCAGAAATCCAACTACATTCCTCATATGCTATTTGATTATTCTCCACATTTTTTGCAGCACAAATATTTTTCACAGCTAAATTCAGTGTGTGAACAACACATGGTGTCCAAGTAATAGATGGAAATTCTTGCTCAATAAGATGCCCTGCTCCCTTACAATTTGCAGCATTATCCGTGATTACTTGAACCACTTTTTCATGCCCAACTTCTTGAATTACTTCTTTTAACAACAAGAAAATAAAATGTCTATCCTTAGTCTCTCCTGAACAATCAACTGATTTCAAAAACATAGCTTCACCATCAGATACTGCCATGAAATTAATAAGTGGCCTCCTTTGTGAATCACTCCATCCATCACTCACAATACTAACACCCTTGTCTTTCCACCCAGCTCGAATAGGTGCACACAACCTATCAATATTTTCCTTCTCTTTCTGCAAAAGAGTGGTTCGCAAGGGGTTATATCCTGGTGGCAAATAACCTCCAATATTATTATCTGCAGCAAAAGTGAAAGCTGCTTGAAAGTATGGGTTCCTTGCTAAAGTGAATGGCAATCCTGCTGAATAAAACATCCTAGCAATCAAGTCGTTCAATTCTTCTCGCGCCCCAACATTGAATGCCCTCTCAATAGGATTTCTAGATGAACTTCCAACCTCACTTCCACTTCTTCTTTTTTTCGAGTTTGATTCTACGGAAAAACTAGAAGGGGGTAAAGGCACATTTTTAGGTGCATTGCTCTTCAATCTCTCACTAGTTTCTTGTTCTAATTTCTCCATCTCTAGCAAGTCTTTTGTCTGTACATGTAAACATTTTGCAATTCCTTTACCTGCTATTTTAAGCAAATGAGCCCTTATTCTAGTATACGAACTTTTAAAATCCTTCTCACAAAAATTACATTTCCAAGATATATTCCCTCCTGCTTTCGTTATGGTGCCTACTTTGGTAACATATTTCCATAATGGCTTCCTTAGAAATTCATCATCTCCACTACTTGCAATACTTGAATCCATTCTAAAAAAAATAAAATTAAACACTATGAACAAAATAATTACTTATGCAAATATAGAACAATTAAATTAAAATAGTAGCATAAAGAAATTAAATTAAAATAATTCCATTAACAAACCAATTTGTTTACTGATATATTTCTTTCTACATCAAATAAAGAAATATATATTTCGTTTATTTTTATCACTCACACAACATACCTATTATAAATTATTTCGGACACGGTCAAATTCGCGTGTCGGAATGGTCAACATGTCGGAAAAGTTGACTGCATGTCCGACACCGTGTTGGAGCGTGTCGGATCGTGTCGGACACGACTCTCCCTGTTTTTACAAGTGTTCGTGCTTCCTTGGTCTTACCCTGTACTTTTGCAAAGATGTTGTTTAAAAACAGGATAATACTTACCTCATGAAATTAAAAATAATTTTCTCCAATTCTCCTACACCATATAACCAACATATGTACTTATCTCCACTTTCATTAAGATGAAGATAAGTACATACTTGGGATGAGACAGTATAATTAGGCTATGGTAGAAAACACGATATAGACTACTTTGATTTTACCTATTGCAGGCAAAACGGGACAAAAAGGATTCCATTACCATAAAATAGAATATAGAAGATTTGAGATGAGAGGAACGGGAGGAAACATGCAAAGGAAAGGAAATCTCCAACAATCACATCAGAATCAAAGATTTCCTATGGGAAGGAATCCATATAATCCCAAGTATACACACAAACACACCCCCCCCAATTCTTCCATCGGAATGTTGGCCAGATGCGTACTAAGCTTCCCTTGTCGGTCATCTCTCCCATTGCTCCGCAGATAAAAATATCAGTACTCTTTGCTGGACATCTCTGATTCAACCCAACCAAACATTCTTTATACTAATATGCAATTTTTATTTTGGCCAAAGCAAAAACACTAGTCATTCACATAGATACTTTTTAATGCTGGTGATGAATTTGGAAGATAGTGCCATGACTTTGAGCTTCTTAATTTTATGTACAAGTGCACAACTAGAACTTGAGGATGACAAACTTTGATGTGAGCAGAGCATGAATTTCTGAGGTCTTTGATTAATCTATCTCTACACATAAAGAACATCACAAATTTACCAAACACCACACCTTTTGAATAGAGAACAACAAAGAAGCAAACACATTTCTCACATAGAACTGAATCTTTTATCCTTATCAACAGAACCTAAACGAATAACCAATTTAACAAACAGCGAGAATTTATTTGCATCCTAATAAATTTGCTGATGCATGCTCAATCATGTTAGCAACAACTATCCAGATATGGAGAATAGTTAGGGTCACTAGTCAAACCAAATATAATTAAACAAAAAAAAAAGTTTAATAAAAAAAGTACGATAGAATTCACAAATTCATAAGTCCTTAACAACATAATTACAAAAGTTCAAACTATAAATAACCGAGTTCAACCAAACTATAGTAGCTTAGTTGGTGCCAAAATACCCAATATCATATCCTTAATTCTGGAATTCGCCCTGAATTGGAGTAATCACTAGTGATGAATCAATTGAAATATCTCAAAAAAAAAAAAAAAAAAAAAAAAAAAAAACCCGAGTTCACAAGTTCAAAAAACAATTAATCATTACCTAAGGATGAGGCGGCAGGGCGTTTATGGGCGGCGCGGCTGACGGTGGAGCGAGACAGAGCATGACGGAGTCTTCTGCGGCGGCAATTTAGCGTTCTACTCCCTTCTCCTAATCCGGGGTTTCATTATGTTTGGTTTTTTTTTTTAAAAAAATTTGACTTCTTTTGTTATTTCTAATACCAAACGACTCTTTTGTAACTTTTTTTTTTAATTTAAATAAGATTTTAATTCGATGAACATAATAGGATAAAGATAAAAAAAAGTGGATCGAAATAGGAACAAATATTGGCATAATTAGGTAACGAGGCTAATGAAATTATATTATCTTATTATGTGTTTAAGTGAATTTTTATTATTAAGATATGATACAAATAAATAAAAATATTAATTATTACTAAATTTTATACAATTTTTTAAAAACTAATTTTTAAAATGATTTTCTTCTTTTTTTGCTTAATAAAATTTAGGTGGAGTTAGATACAATATGGCAGTATCTTATTAGGGTCAGAGATTTTCTTTTTCTTAATACATTAGTTTCTATTTTAAAATATTTAAAATTCATAATTTTAAATAAAACATATTAAAATACATCAAATAACTTACAAAATTTTAAAAATAAAAATTTTTGTTCATCAAATATATTTTTAAAAAGATGTTTTAAATTAATTGTTAATATTTATATATGTAACATGACGAAAACAATTTGAATAAAATTAACATGGAAAAAATAATCAAGTAACATGCAACATGAAAGAATTTAATATGGATTATAACTCGGTTTAATTTGTTTAATGGGTAGAAATAATTATTAACTATTCAAATACACTATGAGCAATATTTGATTAGAGTTAGAGATTTGTTACTTATGAAAGTTAATGAAAAATAAAAAATTCTAAGCACACTTGTCACGGTGGCCGTTGAGGCGGGCGATATTAGCGATGGTGGGCGGTGACGATATTCGAGCACATTGTTTGCCTTGTGAGAGCTTAATTCTCGAAAAGCATTAGGGGATTTGGCAAGATGAATTTTTTTTTTTTTACCATGAAAATATTATTACTAGGAATATGGTGGGAAAATGAGTTTGATATAAAAGTTAAAAAAAAATATTTGGTAAGACGAATTATTACTGAAAAAATTTGGTTAAATTTTATCAGTCTATATTTGATTTAAGATAAAATATTGATGAAAAAAAAGTTGAAATAACGAAATTAATCCTTTTATAATTGGGTAGAGTGTGTATCCTTTTAAAGGATGTAAAGTTGTGTTATTTTAAGTGAGAGAAAGAGATAAATAAAAGAAGAGAGAGTGGACAAAAAAAATAAAGGTGTGAGTCTCACTTCTTTGTGAGAGTGAAATGATATAAATTGTGTCATTTAAAAGACGACAAACATTTTTATCTTTAAAATTTTTGAATCCGGAGAACCCTTGTTTTTATTTGCGAGTCTGTCCTCCTCCATGGCTTATTAATATGCACGTAATATTACAGTCTCTCGTGGTGCATTTTTTCATGTTATTTTGTTCTTAGCCCTTCAACTACATTAAATGTGTTCTTTATTTTTTTAAAAATTTCAGAGATATGGTCCTCCACCATCATACCATCATCTGAAGATCCCCGGACTGAATGCTCCCATCCTATGGCACCTTCTAGCCATTTACAAACGGTAATCAAATGTCTAATGATCGAACCTCTTTATTGGCAAATAATCGACCCATGCCTAACAATGTATAGTGGTAGACATAGACATGGTCAAGGGCTGCAAAATATAAATCAACACACGATGGGAGACTGGGAGTGGTCTTTTTGTTCCTAATTTTGGAGCTCAATTCTTCACTTAGCCGATAATTGAAAAATACCACATTGGAAGTGGTCTTTTCAAACAGTAATTCTCATCACAATTTTCACATGAATCGCAAATCACAAGGAATATATTTTGCTAGTATAATTTTTGTCAAACTTGTACCAAACATGATATTATTCAATATTCACCCACAATTCAATCTTAAAATAAACCTCTTGCTAAATACCCCCTTATGGTATTGAAATACTTGTGGGCCAAATTGTATTCTAACAATTAATTCTTGGACTTAACTAATAGAAAGCCCTAAAGGATGTGTACAAGCATGGATACCATTGACTTTACACTTCTCATAAAATTATATTTGTAGAGTTTTATGTAACTCTCTATTGCATTCACTTTTTAATTTTCTTAAGTGTAGAAGACTGGCTATTCAGAAAATGCTGGTGAATGTTGAAATCCCATAAAAGATATTGCAGTTATACATGTTATGAAACATATAACTTCACATAGTGAAAATTTAATGGAATTCATGTCATTCAGAAGCGTAGAAAATGGTATTTCATGTATTCAATACCCCAATAGGATGAGATTACGACATATACATGATAAACCTAAATGTAAAAAATGAAACTAATAATTATAATGATATATTCTAATTGAAAAAAAAAATGAAAATTGATTCTATCTAATTCTTAAGATTTAGAAATTTGATATTTTTCCTAAAATAAATTGATTCAAGGAACCTTACGCAACATGAAAAATATAATAAATGAGCTCGTGGCAACACTCCTCTTCAAGTGGATGAAAATGTCTTTGATACCCGGCATGACAAGTGAGCTCTTGAAATCCATGCTTCCCACAACATTTGTAAGCGTACCAACTAATTGAACAAATGATCATTGAATAACTTTATGTTCCAAGTTTGGTCAATTTCAACATGTTTGGTATGGTCACGTTGATTTAGGTTGTGAGATATGTCAACGACAGCCTTGTTGTCACCAAAAAATTTCATTTCAGGGTTCGAAGAATAACTCAGCTCGGTTACTAACTTTTTGAGCCACAATAATTCACCCACCTTTTTTCTATTCATCTAACTCGGCCTCAACACTAGATAATGACACTATCGTTTGCTTTTTACTTCTCCACATAACAAGATTCCTTCACACTGATGTGAGATACAAGATGTAGATCTCCTATGAGTAACATCTATTGCCCAAATTTGCATTCGTATACGCATACATGTCAAGTTTGTCATTTTTTGTAAAGAACAAGCCTGTCTCTATAGTCAAATTTAAGTATTGGAGAATTCTAAACATTGCATCTATATGATCCTTCCATGGAGCATACATGATTCTTCATAACACAAACTTTTGAATTTTTTCATATTATTATGTGTTTCATTCATTTCTTACAGACCGCTCAACATTTGTTAACCAACAATGAGAATCTAGACTCATCAAATGCATCAAAGTCCGTGGTTCAGGACATGCACAAAGTGCTGAGTTTCAACATTGGTGGTTACCATGATAGCAACGGTCTTATAGCATTATACCATTCACAGTTAAATGGAAGAAATGAGGGAGACTACTTTGGTAAAGAGAGGGAAAGCATGTGCATGCATATTCATGGAGCTCCAAATGAGGCTATTAAATAACACTTCTTTTTATTTTATTTTTTTATTTTTTAATGCATTTAAAATTTTCTTTAGAAACAAAATTTTTACTTAATATGCAGACATAAATAAAAAGTTTTGGGTTCGTCACTGATGATAATAGTACCCTTACAGTAT